CGTCTGTCCGTGCATTCGTCCGTATGGACAACTGGATCTCAGAAACTATAAGAGCTAGAGACACCAAATTTTGCACAAAGTAGCCTTGTGTACGCCGAATCGATACAAGTAACTACGAAAGCAGCCGTGCCCGCTCTATAACTATGTGAGGTGAAAGTTGAGCTCACCGTGTTTACGATTTAACCTGGTCTTCGCTTCGAGTGCTAGCTTCTGCAGAGGTAACATGCCTGCTAGCACGAGTGCTGCATTGTCCGATATGGTTCGGAACCCGCTGCAGACCCTTATCGCGCTATGGCGGTATGTTGCGTCAGGTCCGCGTCTATAGGACCCCGTCTCCACCCCTATCATACTATATACATGAATATACATATGTAAGTACATATGTATGCACATATAACCATACATACTTGTAGTATTTATTGTACTTTATTTCCTAGCTCTCCAATCGTACCAAAGTAATTTGCTATTTGGGAAATGAACTCTTTAGAAACTTTAGGGAGTGTCGGAAGAGAAATATCATACAGTAAATAAACGTATAATTGTAAGCATATATACTGAGCCAGTATAGACGGGCAAGATCCGAACAACAACAAGAAAGGAATGCTAAAGTCGACCGGGCTCAACTCCTAAATACCCTGTACGACCCTAAACAATTTTTTTTATTAATTTCATTACAAACATTTTTAATTAATTTAATTAATTAATTTAATTAAATATAAAATATTCAACACATGCATAGATACATAAGTGCTTATATACAATTTCAACAGCATACATTTATATCAGAATAGTGTCTATGCGTGTTTGTGTACTTGTCCATATGTATGTATACAGCCAAAGTTGAACCAAAGCAGCCACAACAACAGCTGCGGGCATAGCTTGGCTATAACTTTCTTAATAATTGACCTATCACGATTAAACTTGGCATACAGACATATAATCCCTAACGGGATGTAGTTACAAATTAAGAGTTCAAAATTCCATGTATCAAAAAAAAAAACTCAAACTCGTCCTTTCTCGGACTCAGGAGAATCTGGATACCGAGTTCGGTATTCTAGCTCTTGTACTTGCTGAGATCCTTGCGTTCATGCAGACGGACGGACAGACGGACATGGCTATATCGACTCGTCTTATCGGAAAGTGAGCTACCATTTTACTAGTATGCTATAGTGTAGCATAGCCACGGTTCATCAATACCTAGTGCCCAGTGTCACAAGCAACGAACGCGAAAGAAAGGTTTAGGATTACAGCCCGCTGACTTACTGACAAGGCAAGTGTCAACGCTCTAAGCAAATATTGTTAATACATAAGACATTATATACATAATTAGTACATAAGCCACATTTTGTATAAAAAGAGCTAAATAAACATACAAGACACCGGCTGTCTGTCTGTTCGTCTGTATGAGCGCAAGGATCTCAGAAGGTACAAGAGCTAGAATGACCAAACTTGGTATCCAGGTTCCCCTGAGCCCTAGGCAGGTCGGTTGTTTTTCTATTTTGATAAGCACTCCACTCCCCCTTGCTCGAAAGTAGCGTTCTATCTTGCACAAAAGTTGAACTAAAGCAGCAAAAACAGCAACAGCTGCAGGCAGAGCATGGCAGTCATTTTATTTATGGCTAGAACTTGCTTCAGAATTGACCAATCGTGATGACACACATAATCACTAACTGGATCTAATAACCAAATTTGAGTTCAAAATTCCAAAAAAAAAATTATGGAAAAAATATGATTTGCGGGGAAGTGGGGAGGTGCATCTGCAACTCAAGCTCGTACTTTCTCGGATTTGGGAGAATCTGGATGCCAAGGATACAGTGTTTAATTCTAGGAACTAGTAGCCCTCAATGTCACAATCTATACATTTATGCTTATGTACATACATATGTATGTGTGCATGTAGACACATGCTTATGTATGTATATGTACTATATGTACATACATATATGATTGTACTCTAGAAATTACTTGCCAACATAACATGCAGAGAAGCTAAAGTCGGGTGTCTATTCGTGTCTGTGTGAGCATTTTTGCAGTAAACCAAAGCACCAACATCAACAACATCTGCGGGCAGTCCCCGAGATATAGGCGATGATACGAACGGCGTTTCCGAAAATCCCCCATAGTGGGACTCAAGTTCATAGCGTAGGTTGGCGATAAGAAGCACTTTTGGAAAACTCGAACTCCAAGAAACAGGCTCCAACGTTGGTACGAAAAATCTACAACTTTTATTTGATTAACTTCAAACTTAGTTTGTGTACTCTTAAAATATAATTTCAAAACAAGAAGGGGGAAAACGAAAAAAAAATTTAAATACATTTTAAATTTATATTAATTAAAATATTTAATTAAATTAAATATTTAATTATTATTTATTATTTAATTAAATTAAATACAAATTATTCAATACACATATACAAAAGTGGAGACATGTTCATGTACAGTTTCAACAGCATACATTTACATCAGAAGCGTGTTTATATGCGTGTATGTATGCAGCACAAAGTTAAACAAAAGCAGCAACAACAACAACAGCTATCCTGATAAAACTTGATTTCAAAATTCCAAGAATTACGGAAGTTATGGAAAAATAAGAAAAGAATGGTAAAGTCGAGCAAGCTCAACTCTTAAATACCCTGTACCACCCACCAAAAAGGAAAAAATGAAAAAGGAAAAAAAAGTTTTTTAAATAATTAAAAAATTATATTAATTAAATTAAAGACACGTTCATGTACAGTTTCAACAGCATTCATTTACATCAGAATCGTGTCTCTGCATGTTTATATGAGTGTATGTATGCAGTTGAACAAAAGCAGCAACAACACCAACAGCTGCGGGCAGCGTTACAAGCAGAGCATGGGCACCGTTTTTATTTATGGCTATAACTTCCTTCAGAATTTACCTATCACGATGAAACTTGGCATACAGACACATAATCACTAACAGGATGTACTAGGTACCAAAAGTTATTTATTTATTTCCAAATTCCAAGAACTACGGGAGTTATGAAAAAAAACACAAATTGTGGTGGAGTGGGGGGGGGGGGGTGTATCAGAATAAAAAAATAATCTTGACCTGCCTAGGACTTATGGGAATCTGGATACCGGGTTTGGTTATTCTAGCTCTTGTACCTTCTGATATCCTTGCGCTCATACAGACGGACGGACGGACAGACGGACATGGCTATATCGACTCGGATTGTCACCCTGATCAAGAATATATATACTTTGTGGGGTCTGCCACGCCTCATCTGTATGTTACATACATTCGCACAAAACTAGTATAGCCTTTTACGCTTTGGGTACAGGCTATAAAAACACGAATTGCGGGGGAGTGGGTGGGTGCATCGAAAAAAAAACTTAAGCTCGTACTTTCTTGATCTTAGGAGAATCTGAATACATACCAAGTTTGGTTGTTCTAGCTCTTATACTTTCCGAGATCCTTGCGTACACACGGGCGGACAGACGCACATGGCTATATCGACTCGGCTTGTCATCCTGATCAAGAATATATATACTTTGTGGGGTCTGCCACGCCTCCTTCTGCCTGTTACATTTTTCACCTCCCGCAAACCTAATATACTCTGGTACATTTCATGTACAGATTATAAAAATTGAGTCTCTATACATATGTGCGTATGCTCATTTAAATGTTGTGCAGTTGCATAAGTTGATCAAATAACTTTGCCAAATTGTACAGCTTTTAATTCTAAAAATTCCTTGCCTTGATTTATCACTATCATACTATATAAACTCATACTTTGTCGGACTTAGAAGAATCCCTTATCTTAGAGAGTGAGATCCTTGCATCATACAGACGGACAGACAGAGAGACATAGCAATATCGACTCGTCTTGTCATCCTGATGAAGAATATACCCATGTATGCATGTATGTACATATATACTTTGTAGGGCCTGCCGCGCCTCTATGTATGTGTGTACATATGTATATACATACATACATTAATTGTCACAAAACTAGTATTGCAGATTACCCTTCGGGTACATGCTTTATAAATTAAGAAAATTTAAAAAAGGTAAACTAATTTAAAGGGTGTATAAATGCACATTGACATAGAAATTGTGTCTGTGTTAGTCTATGCGTGTCTGTGTCTGTATCGTGTGCTTGTGCAAAGCAGAAACAACAACAGCTACGGGCCGAGCTTGTGCATACATATGTATTTTTGTACATACATACATATATGGCTATAATTTTCTTTTAAGTTGACCTATCACGATGAAACTTGTCATACGGACGCATAATCACTAACTGCATATCATTGATTGCGTGAAACTTGTATAGCGTACACACATACATAGGGCATTTATGTACAAAATTTGGTGTCGATATCCCTTATAGTATTTGAAATCCAGGTGTTGATAAGGACAGACAGACATACATAGATCCCTTTGTCTTGTCTCGCTGATCAAGAATGTAAAGTATATACTATGTGGAGTCTGCTACGCCTCCTTCAGCCTGTTAAATTTTTCACCTCCAGCAAACCTAATATACTCTTGTACATTTTATGTACAGAGTATAAAAAATACTAAAAACGGAGTCCAATAAATAGAGAGCAAGCACGTTTATGTCTGTTACAGCACAACATAAACCAGGCCGACTAAGAGATTCGATGAGAACAATGTATGAAGTTATGTAGAGTTTGCGCGAACTGAATTTATGTTTAAAAAGAGAATGAATTATTTTCGCCATGTGTCTTACCTCTCTTATTAAAGAGTAACAAGAGTAATTCTCTTTGCACCAGTCATAGTGGTGCATGTGTATGAGATACTTATTCCTTATGCTCTTTTCGCCGTGTTTTGGAACAGGCTCATTTCAATGACATTGCTACAACTAAAAACACACATTTCTGTTAATCCGAAGAGTGAACAACACTTGCAGCGGTATTCGCGGTAAAATTCTAAACTCATTCGGATTTGTATCTGTTCGTGTAAATTTCACATATGACAAAATTAAATGCGTACTAAAAGTAAATAAATGTTGAAGTCGTTGTTTATGTATCAATTACCACTTTACATTATAAAATGGATATATCTGCATATCAACAAATGAATATTCGAATGAGCAGCCGTGGAAAACGGCCGCTTCGTAACCTTACACCGAATGACAAAGTGCGAGCTATTCAACGTATTCATAATGGCGAAACAAAAGCTTCTGTTTCCAGGGATATTGGTGTACCCGAATCCACGCTACGCGGTTGGTGCAAAAACGAGCAGAAACTCAGATTTATGTGCCGGCAACTGGGTTCAGGTGCAAATCATCTTGGCATACCAAATTTAGAAATTCCTCCAGAAAAACGTGGAAAATTTGAAGTGCAGCTTTTGTCTAATTCATTTTCGTCGATACCAAATTATGAAAAAATAGCTTTTGGCGGTGCGGCATTTTCAACTATGGAATTTACAGCTCAAAATGAACAACTGATAGAAAAGCTGGCTTTGGCCGAATTTATAGAGAAAAATGAGTTGTGTCCTAATATATTGAAAAATATCAAGCAGGCGAACTCTGTTACTACGTGTATAGAGCCATCAGGATCGGATTTTTCAGCCAATCATATGCTAAATCAATTTAACTTGTTGGCACTGCTTAGTGCAAAATCGCCAGGCATTTGTGGTAATACCACCAAAGCTCAGTTAAAAGGAACAAATCACTCAACTCTAAGTGTCAAAAATTGGGCCAAAAATCCAGATGAGATTTTGTCACACTCGGCCGAGCTTCAAAGTCATTTCGACGGCACAAACAGCAATGGTCCATTGGAAAACATTGTTACGACATGTACTCATGCTGAAGCAACTACTTCATCTACGATTTCGGGGGTTAATTTGTTCTCAATACCTGAAATTTCTTTTGCAGCCGATGCCATTCAGGTTACAGCTCTTTTAGATTGGTGTAAAATTTTTAATGCTAGTCTTAACATCCTCGCTATTGCTGCTTCTTCTGCATCCGTGCAGCCCGAATACATACCCACATTAACCAAAAAGTCCGATGAGTTCGATGAAGCATCTCGAGCGGTCTTAAAAAAATGTAATCCAGTAGTACACAGCGAATCCTCTAATGAAAGCTACTACGACAGCGGGCCCGAAGATCTCTCCATTCGTTCAAGTGCTTCAAAATCGTCCAGTCCATCAAACAGCAGATCTCAAAGCCCCAATAAGAGTAATCACAGCGATGGTGAGCAGTAGTCGTTGCTACTACTGTAAATCTCTTAATGAGAGAAATCGTATATAATAAATATATCTTAGTTTTATTACTACACTAAGCATTTGTAGGTATTACTTTAAAAACGAATTGAAATAAGGATTTAAATATGTTTTTATTCGCTTGTGCATATTTTGCAACATTCAAGTATCAACAATTTGTGGATTTAAGAAATTTAGTGTAAATACCGTACAATGAAATAGTTACTAATATTATGTAACTCTCGCAAGCTTACAAAAAAAAATCTTTAAATAATCATTGAAAAACGGTTAATTAAAAAAAAGAAAACAACAAAGCAAATCATTTAAGAACTTCGAAAATATTATTTTACGAGCATTATAGAGTATATAACTAGCATATAAATTAAATACATTTTTGTAATTAAATTATACCTATGTATATAAATTAATAAACTTCATACCACATGATCCATATGGGGCTGCGACTCAAAGGGACTTTAATAAAAGGATTAATTAACATGAAATATAAGATTAATTAACCGATATGTCGAGTGTTTCTAATTATACCCTTGAAATACACATATTTAAAACGCCTTTAAGCAACGACGCACAGTGGGGCCTTCGGACTTTTTTCGTTGCAAAAATCATATCTTCTGAACGGCTGAAGCAATTTTCGTCATTCAAATTTTGTTTGAAAGAAAAATTCTTAAGCTTTGAAACAAGTCATAGCGCATTGTGCTGTGATTTCTAGGAGCTGCGCAATGTGTGGATTTTGTTGCCAGTGCAATATTTGCCTAATCAAACTAATAAAAAACATTTAATGATACAATTATTTTCAGTTATGTTATATTTTTAGTTTTTAACAAATTAAAAATTGAACAAAAAATTGTTTAAATATTACAAATTTTTTTTTTAATTTAAAAATATTGAACATTTTTTTTACATAAAAAAAAGTTAAGTAAAATATTTTGTTAATATTTTATGATTACATTAATTTTTATTATAAAGTACTGACAGCTGCAATTATTTACATTAATATGTTTTCTTTAAAATAGTCGTCTACATTCGAAGGAATATCTAATAATTTCACCATGTCCGAAGAATAATTACTAACTAATTCTTTTTGAGACCTCACATGTCTAAGGGATGAAACCAGTGGATCTGAAGAGGCTGACAACATATTGAAGAGATCCTCGTTTTGCCTTATTCGTGACGTCTTGCATGTGTTCAAATATCTGAATTTTTTATAGTCCTTGTTCCTCGACTCTTGGGCTTCCTCTGACATTTCTCCAATTGGTCATGAAGTGTTACTTGCACTGACTGTTCCGTCACTATTGTGGGCTGAGGTACTGCCTCTTTCTTAGCCGATCTTATTTGTTTGTACCCAGGAAGAACATCAACATTATGCCGAATTAGGGAATGTCGCAATATTAAATATTTTTCCTTTGACAATCCCAAATCCATAAACAATGCCAAAGCCTCATCGGCACTGAACTGCTTTAGCAGTAAGTTTGGCGGAGTAGGAATGCTTTCCTTGATCCTTTTAAGTCGCACTGGGCTTGCGTCAGCAACCGCTTTTGTGATTTGCGATTTTATTTTTTCCTGATCCTTGGTGTATTTCATGGACAGCGCCTCCGACAAGTGATCCGTAGCTATGGCTTCTGTGACATCGACTAGCTTTCTTTTTCTTGTAAAATCCGAGCATTCTTCAATGGATTTCGTTGGTCTTCCTCTGGCTCGTCCAGTTGATGTAGAGGGTACATCGTCCATTGATGTATCCAAGTACGTAGTCGTTGATAGCCAGATTTCATATTTTAAATCAAATTTCTGCTTGCTATAGCGTAGGATGCTTATCCATTTCTGTTTGATTTTAGAATAAATTAATTTAAGCTTATTTCTCAACATTTTTTGCTGATCTGCACTTTCCAGAGCATCATACAGCTCTTTCAGAACAGCTTCTTCAAATTCCTTCTCATCATTGGAATTCCTAAATAGATCAAATAATGTTGCATTTTGCACAGCCATGTTAAAGAAAAATCACTTTTAAGGTATTTAAACGTAAATTATATTGATAAATACTATTCACTGCTTGTTAGACACAACTGATTGCTTTTTAAGTCAAAATTCGACTATTACGCTGCACCAAAAATATTGGCAATATATACCATTTCTAAACGCATACCTAAGATAATAAACTAAAACCTCTTTTTGCCTGTTCAAATGCTTTAAAGCAAAGAAGCATTATCAACACACCTAACAAATACAGAATTAACTACAAAGCAGACACCGAAAATTGCGCGCATATTTACAGACACCTGTTAGTTAGTAACTCCAAGTCAAACAGAGCAGACTTGCTTAAATAAGTAATTATATAAAAATTTTTGTGTTATAGTTTCAATATGTTAATTATGTTATATGTTTTGTAGTTGCCCTGAAGACGGTTACCGTGGCGTAACCGAAATATATCGGAAAAAGAAAAGAAAATTAAATAAATTGGTTTTTCTTACTCTGACCTCGAGCCGGCCAAACAATAAAAATAACTATGAGGAAGGTCACCAAAATACTCAACGTACTTTTTTTTATTTTCCATCAAAGTTGAAAAACACCCTAAAAATAGGTAGTTTAAAAAATAACGTTTTCTAGATAACTACGAATACGAAAGACATAGTTTTTATTAAATAATGCATAAAATTAATTCATCTAGCAATACAAATCAAAACATCAATGATTCGTTTCATAACTTAGCTAATATTATACCTGAAAGATGAAGTATTTGCATCAAATTGAATTAATTGTTGCGAGCTTAAAAAAGGGTCGACTTTGAGTGCACATATGTCCTAAACTATAATTCCGAGAAGAGTAAGATTTTCGTAATCTTTGCAAAAAAAACTATTAGACACGTTTATTCATTACTCCCAAAGCGTTCATGAAAATTTTGATTTTCGCAAGCTGTTTCGGCCTAAGGCCCCACTGTGCGACGTAGGCAGGAGGGAAGGTGGGGTAATTTTGTACTTTCATGTGCAGTGTAGAAAAACAGGTTATATGTCCGTCGGTTTTCACAGCTAAGTTGGTTTTATGTAATGTAATTTAACATAATATACCCAAATTATGTAAATAAGAATGAACTGGTATAAAAAAATGTAAAACTAAGTTTATAAGTCAACAAAATAATAAAATGGTATTTAAAAAGGAAAAAGTACGTTTGGAATAGGATGTCGGCGCACCGATCCGAAGATACTATTACTTGTTTTTTTTTTTTACATTATGCTCAAAGAGCATATATTTATCTATATATATAAAACAGTTTGTCCTGACTGACTGACTGATTGGTGATCAACGCACAGCCCAAACGGTAAAGGCTAGGAAGCGGAAATTTGGACTCAAGTATCCTTTCATAGTCTAGGTGCCCACTAAGAAGGGCGACTCAAGTTCATAGCGTAGGTTGGCGATAAGAAGCACTTTTGGAAAACTCGAGCTCCAAAGGGAGAAAACAGGCTCCAACGTTTGTATGAAAAATCTACAGTTTCTGCATCTACAGTTTCTGATTAACTTCAAACTTAGTTTGTATACTCTCAGAACAATTCCAAGAAAAACCGTATACTTGGTTTTTTGATATTTTTTTGGGGCCTCAAATATGGGAGTTTTCCTGTAAAAAAATGGTGGGGCACAAAAGCAAACCGCGTCAACAGCCCACAGCCCACACGGTAAAAGCTAGGATGCTGAAATTTGGGCTCAAGTATCCTATCATGGTGTAGATGCGCACTAAGATTTTGGAAAATTCGAGCTCCAAAGGGGGGAAACGAGCTCCAAAGTTTGTTTGAAAAATCCGCATTTTTTAGCCGATCGACATAAAACTTAGTTTCTGAAATCAATAAAAAAATACAAAGAAAACTGCATACTCGGTTTTTTTTTTTTAATTTTTAGTTGGAGCTTGAATTATTGGGGTTTTCTGGGGGCACAAAAGGAAACCGCGTCAACAGCCCACACGGTAAAGCTAGGAGGCTGAAATTTGTGGGATTTGGGATTTTGGAAAATTCAAGCTCCAAAGAGGGGAAAAGAAGCTCAAAAATTTGTTTGAAAATCCTCATTTTTCAACCGATCGACTTAAAACTTAGTTTCTAAAATCAATTAAAGAATACAAACAAACCTGCATACTTAGATTTTCGAAATTTGTGTTGGAGCTTGAGTTATTGGGGTTTTAATATTTATTCAACTTTTCAAATGAAAAGTTTGTGTTATAAATTTAGTCCGATCGATTTAAAATTTGGGTAATGTAATCTACGTAACTAATTCTACAACTTTGCATTCAAGGATTTTCAAAATATGCATTTTACAAAAGCAGGCAGAACAAACAATACAAAATATCAAACAGTTGGGGACAACTAAGTATACATACACACACACACACACACACATGCAAGCAACTGTTCGTGTAGTTGCGTGCAAACGATTGAAATAGCCAAAGCAAAATGTGAGACACTAATGTATGAATGTCCATACATATGTGCACATCTATGTATGTACATATGTATCTACATATGTATGTATGTACATTCGTCTTGCACTGACAGAGCAAGAAATGTTAATTAATTGAAAACAAGAAAGGAATGCTAAAGTCGAGCAGGCTCAACTCTTAAATACCCTGTACCACCCCACAAAAAAGTAATTAAATTAATTAATTAATTTAATTAAATTAATTAACTAAATTAATTTAATTAATTAACTAAATGTTAACTAATTAAATATAAAATATTCCATGCATGCATACATACATTTACAATTACATCAGAATCGTGTCTATGCGTGTTTGTGTACTTGTACATATGTATGTATGTGTGCATTGAGCCTGGTTATATGGCTATAACTTTCTTTCCGATCATTCTATCATAATGAGACTTGGTATACGGTTATATAATTACTAACCTAATGTGACTACCAAATTTTAGTTCAAAATTCCAAGAATTACGGGAGTTATAGAAAATCGTTAATAGGGGGGGAGTGGGGGGGTGGATCAAAAAAAATGAACAAACTCGCCCTTTCTCGGTCTCAGGAGAAACTGTATACCAAGTTTGGTTATTCCAGCTCTTATACTTTCGGAGATCCTTGCGTTCATACAGACAGACAGACGGACAGACAGACGGACAGACGGACAGACGGACATGGCTATATCGACTCGGCT